ATGCCGCACAGTGCAGTACTGGAAACAGCATTTATTAGACAGTAGACAAAAACAAAACTAAATGCCTGTCTCGATCAATCGAGACATCCATAATGTTTGTATGTTGATATGCTTGTAAATAACATTAACGTAAAAGTCGAAACAACACAGACTAGAAATCAATTCACCAGTCCAGCCAACTATGGCTCCTAAGTTGCTTATATTTAATCAGATACTATTTCATCATCATGCTTTGTTACCTTACCTGTTTATACCTCATGAGGGCGTTTTTTTATGGCAAGATGGCGCAAACAGAAGTCCTTCGCAGGTTTATGGTTTCTCATATTTAAATCATCATAACTCTGAAGATAATCATTTTTTTTATTTTTTTTTTTCAAATTTACAATCAATATACATAACTTGATAAATACAAACACCAAAATAGGCTCTATTTAGTTCCCCTTTAATTAGAATTGTCTTACAAAATGTTTTAATGTCAAAATCTTTGGTTGTATCACATTACAACCAGCATGTGCAATTTTGTATTAAATTGTTATTAAATAACTACATTTGATCATGTGAACAAAGACAGCCATACTGTGTGGACTGTTAAGCCAATCATTCTTGTACGAAAACAAGAAAAAATACACTTAACTGGGATGGATTTCGATTAGCTGGCATTTAGAAACAATTATTCTGTAATACATAACCAAAAGCAACTGAAAAAAAATAATTAAGGAAAATGAAAATCTGTTAAGCTATAAAATGTCTCACCGAAGTACTCACACATGTGCATGATTCCAATAGTTTGTGCTGTGAAGAAACTCCATTAAAAAATAAGTATTGTGTAATTTGTAGTGAGAATGTATTTAAATAGATTTATGTTTATAAATCTTGTTTCTTTTCAAAGTGTATTTATATAATTAAAAATTGTTTATGAAAATGTTCTTTATACTTTTTCGATGGATTGAATTTACAAATGATGAGTTATTTTGTTACACCATCACTCGAATTATGTATTACGAATTTCTGATAGTTTAGGCTTTGTGTTCTTGTGAACGGAAAGACATTAAACTGTTGACATTGATAATAGCGAATGTATTTCGAAAGTTGTGAAATCATGGTACTGTTTTGGCATTGTACGAATTGCAGCTGCGTTTGATGGATTTTATTAGGATTGTTAAAATTCAGAAAAAACAAAGAATAAAAACGCTTGTATGAATTGATCAGAACTTTGAGGAACTTAAAGGTTTTCCATGAATGCTATGTACATGTCAAGAATTAACAATGGACATTTTGGCGATTGTAATAACAGTCATCCAGTGGAGCTGTATTCAGATTATGTCCTTTTATTTGGATACAGATTTTATGCCAAGTAAATTCCAGATTCAGACATCAGTCTCAGGTTCAGATTGCAATTTGCATCTTCAGATTACCCAAGTACATTCCAGTTTAATATGGCAGCCTCAGATTCTAGATTCAGATTCCACAATCAAATTGCAGATTCACATTTCATTCTTGCATTCAAATTTCAGATTCAGATTGCACATCCACACATTCTAGATTCGGATTGTACATTCAAATTTCAGATTCTCATTTCGCCCTCGCATTCAGATGCAGATTGCACACCCACAGATTGTAGATTCGAATTGTGGCAGATTGCACATCCGCAGATGGCAGATTCAGATTGTACATTCAAATTTACATTTCACCCTTGCATTCAAATTTCAGATTCACATTTCACCCTCTCATTCACTGATTCAGATTCCAGAGGCAGATTGCCCATACACAGATGGCAGATTCAGATTGTACATTCAAATTTCAGATTCACATTTCACCCTCGCATTCAGATTCTAGAGGCAGATTGGCACACCCACAGATTGTAGATTCAGATTGTACATTCTAATTTACATTTCACCCTCGCATTTAGATTCTAGAGGCAGATTGCACACCCACAGATTGTGGATTCAGATTGTACATTCAAATTTCAGACTCACATTTCACTCTCGCATTCAGATTTCACATTTCACCCTCGCATTTAGATTCTAGAGGCAGACTGGCACACCCACAGATTGTGGATTCAGATTGTACATTCAAATTTCAGATTCACATTTCACTCTCGCATTCAGATTTCACATTTCACCCTCGCATTTAGATTCTAGAGGCAGACTGGCACACCCACAGATTGTGGATTCAGATTGTACATTCAAATTTCAGATTCACATTTCACTCTCGCATTCACATTTCATATTTCACCCTCTCATTCAGATTCCAGAGGCAGATTGTAGATTCAGATTGTACCGTTAAAGTCCTATTATAAACCGCGGTTTATATTACAATGTATCAATTTAAAAATTGGGATCAAAAGCTCAAGTTCGGGGTGCGGTTTCTATTACGCACATATTGCAATCAGTAAATGGTCGTGGTCATTTTTTGTCCACAACACATGCACAAAACAAACAACACACCGTACAATCTCTTGAATAGGCGTCGGGGAAGAGTGAAAGGCCTTATTTTGGTTCTAAAATAAGCGTTACGAAATGTTGAAAAATGACAGTCAATCAAAAAAAAATTCTACATGATACAAAAAAATACTGAGTATTTTTAATGTAATATGCATTTATTTTTAGCTCCGCTGTCGACTTTGTCGAGCGGAGCTTATCATATGAGTGATTGTCCGTCGTCCGTGTCAATGTTTTACTTTTTCGACTTCTTCTTGAAAACTACAAGCCTGAATGCTTTGATACTTGGTGTATATGTACCTTGGGTAGACCTCTCTCAGATTTGTTCATTTCATGTTGATATCTTCAATTCTCTAATGTTGGTGAATATTTTTGTCATTTTTGGTAAAAAGTGATATTTTCGACTTCTTGTTAAAACCGCAAGTGCAAATGCTTTGATATTACATATATAGGTACTACATGTGGACCTCTCTCAGATTTGTTCATTTTGTAATGATATCTTTAATTCTCAAATTTTGGTGAATATTTTGGTCATTTTTGGTAAAAAGTGATATTTTCGACTTCTTGTTAAAAACCGCATGTCCAATTGCTTTGATATTACATATATAGGTACTGCATGTGGACCTCTCTCAGATTTGTTCATTTTGTGATGATATCTTTAATTCTCTAATTTTGATGAATATTTTTGTAATTTTTGGTAAAAAGTGATATTTTCGATTTCTTGTTGAAAACCGCAAGTCCAATTGCTTTGATATATTATACATATAGGTACTACATGTGGACCTCTCTCAGATTTGTTCATTTTGTGATGATATCTTTAATTCTCTAATTTTGATGAATATTTTTGTAATTTTTGGTAAAAAGTGATATTGTCGACTTCTTGTTAAAAACCAATAGATCAATTGCTTTGATATTACATATATAGATACTACATGTAGACCTTTCACAGATTTGTTCATTTCATAATGATATCTTTAATTCTCTAATTTTGATGAATATTTTTGTAATTTTTGGTAAAAAGTGATATTTTCGACTTCTTGTTGAAAACCGCAAGTCCAATTGCTTTGATATATTATACATATAGGTACTACATGTGGACCTCTCTCAGATTTGTTCATTTTCTAATGATATCTTCTGTTCTTTAATTGCCATGTGCATTGCTAACAGCGGAGCTATCTCAGCCGACAGGCTGCTTGTTTTAATTTTCTTGGTAACAAAAAGTATATTCTAACAGAAGTTTCAAATAAAAACACAAATGCACTGTTTAGTAGCAAATGATCACATAACGGTAGCTCGATCCGGCCATGCTGCGGGTCACAAGTGAATAACTTACTTGTTTTCGAAGTGTTGATATTGGTGATTATTATTTAGTAGTGATTACAATAACGCACGAAAAATAAATTCGTTGAATTTTTATAAAATGCAAGTAAAATTCAACTTAGTTTCCCCGTAAGCGAATGATTTCAGTCACATGTAAACAGCCGATACGATATCCAGCATGTTTTTGAATGCTCACGTGACGTATTATTGACCGGATAGGTCAAGTCGCTAATTAACCAATCAAAATGCTGGATGGTGCCCACGTGTCTAAATTACATAGCTCATTTGAATATGTTAATGACAGTTCAGCGACCTCATGGTGAACGCAACACAGAAGAGATTTACCGATAATGTAGCGCGATCTTTTGCCTTTGATTTCCATGGGAAAACGGCATGATTTTTTTTTTAAATCAGAAATTATTTGTTTTCGAA